GCTGGCAGTGGTCCAGACTGCTGGCCGGAGGCATGGCTCCCGTAGCTGCCTGTGGCCTGGCTCCCACATGCATCCCCGAGAGTCTGGGCTCTGTCAGGAAGCCGTGTGATTAGCAGAGGAGCCTGGGGGTCCGCACAGCGTCTGCAGCCTCTCTTCCTCAGCCCCTTCTCACCTGCTGTGTGCGTGCTACGCTGCTGCTCGCTGCGCCAAGCCCGGGGCCAGAGCCGGTGAGAAGAGGGCAGGGTGGGGCCACTGGCAGGGCAGAAGGGAGGAGCTGGGGCCTCCAAATGCAGCCCCTACAGAGGCCTTCAGCCTCCCTGCCCACAGCACCTAGGGCGCACCAGAATCAAGCAGGCGCGGGGCCCCACGACAGGCCTACAGCAAGGAGGGGAAGGGGCGGGAACCCACTCAGTCCCCGGGCCTGTCTTCAAGGAGCCCTCCAAGTCAGCCCCTTCACCTCAGTTTCACTGTTCCCCACCCCCTAGCCCAGTCGCCCCCACCCAGCCCTGCTCCTGGGAACTCTGTCCTAGCATCTCACTTGTCCCCACTCACATACCCCTGTACCTCCCGTTCTCCACACAGGTCTCGTCATGTCTTTCCCTGCCTGGGCACCTTTGCTGGCTCCCCATGCCCTCAGTATGAAGACCAGGCCCCTCAGCAGGGCATTCAAAGTTTCCCCCAGGCCAGAATGCCATCTCCCACTGCAGCCCAGATCATTGCCCTCTACTAGCTCAGAGCTTTGGGACACCAGCCTCCTCACTACACCAAGCACCCTCCCATCTCTGAGCCTTTGCATATGCTGTTCCCTCTGCCCTTCCTGCCCCACCCCCTTCCTACCTTGATGACTGTTACAGAAACAGTCCAAACAGAAAAGCTCTCCACGCCCTGTGGCTCAGGCCCCAAGCCCTCTGTCCCCAGAAAGAGCAAACGCAGTGGCTGTGACAGCCCCCAGGTCCATGCTGGTGAGAGAGAGAGGAGTGACCCACATGATGTGGTGAAGGAAGAGGAAGAGGCCCCATGGCAGGGTGGCCGCCATCCTGGTGGGAGGAGGTCAGCGGTCACAGAACAGACTCCAGGTCTGAGTCACAAAGGGCCTTTTCATCTGTACAGGTTACATGCACATGCTGACCTCTTCCTGGAAGTCCAAAATGAAAGAAAATGCCGGGTCTCCGAGCTTGCACCAGCTGGGACCTGCTTACGATGATCTAAACTCTGCCCTCTTTGCCACAGGGCAGCTCTGCCCAGGGATTGGGGAGGATATGTGGTTCATTTAAAATGTCACTCAACTAAGTCACCAGCCATAAAGCCCACCTGGGTTTCCAGCAGCACATACCAGGTGTCTGACTAATGACACACACATAATAATCCATCCCGAAGAGCCATAGGTTGAAATGAAACAGGAGGGCTAATTGCTAATATAGGAATTAATGCCAGTGAGTACTGATCTCCAAGGCAGCCGGGAACTGTAAAGTTGAAGAGTGTTTTTACTTTAGGTGGAGTCCCTGAGGTCCAAAGGTGGGGGGCGGTCTCTGGAAGACAGACAGGTGTTCAGGAGGAAACCTGGCCACGCCTGTCCCTAGCTTGGCAATGAGCTCACACGTGGTTATCATGAGTGGGAATCTGAAGGACCCAAGAACCAGAATCCCAGCACAGAATCAGCTTCCCCAGGAAGCCCCCCATGATCCACACCCCTCTACCCCCACTGCAGGTTGGGCAAGGCAGGCTTTGGGCTCCCATAGTGCCCTGTGTGAGTCCCGTGCTATGGCCCTCTGTGCCAGTGGCCCCCCCGCTGGACTGCAAGCTCCTGGAGACAGGGAATCCTCTTTGGATCCCGATGTTGTACACGGTGTCTGGAGCGTGAGTTGACTCAGTACATGTTTGCTGGATGGATAGGTCAAGAGAAAGAGAGATGAACAAAGGGACAGAAAGATAGGTATATGGATGGATGGAGAGATGTACAGATGGACAGAAAGGCGGGCGGAGGGAGGGAGGGAGGGACTGATGTAGGGGTGGATGGATGGATGACTGCAGGAGAGGGCCTCAGGAGGGACCCAGGGTCCCTCGGTGCAGTGGGCCTGGGGGACGCCTTGTGTTTGCTTGACAGTATGTTTCTGTGGTGCTGAGACCTGGCACCCTGCAGGGAACTGGCCCAGAGTTCAAGGCCCTGGCTGTCATGCAGGTTGTGCAAACAAGGACAGTCCTCCCACCCGGTGTCGCTGCATCTGCAGATTGGGGAGGGTCCTCCCTGCCTTGCCGGCTTGGCTGGGTTGTCCCAAGGCTCAGGGGAGATGACAAGGCAGCAGTGGCCTGGGAAAAGGTAAGATGCTCCTGCCCTTGCAAACGGTGCGAATGCATGGGCAGATCTGGCCGAATGCAGAGCGCTACAGAGATGGGCAATCGTGTACTTGGCTTTCTTTCTCCCTCTCACATTTCTTTTGATACAGATATGTTATTTATGGCAGAAAGTAAAATTGTGTGCTTACAAATGGAGACTTTTATTATGTTGACCTCAAAAATGTTCTTTAGCACCTCAACACAGAGACCAGGGATGGGGAGGCTGAGGGGAGGGGTGGTGGGCAGAGGCTGTGGGGGGAGAGCCCAACAGCCAACCCAACAGGCCAGGGGCCAAGAGGGGCTCCTGCTTACTGGACCCTTGGGACCCCACAGATTCATTTTGCCATTGATCAACTTGACTGGCCTCATAGAAAGTCCACATGTAACCACTGTGTGGCCTCGGCTTACTCGATCTAGTACTGTGCCTACTGGGCATCCCACGGCTCTGACAGTAAGTGTTTGCCAGGAGGGAGTATTTACATACTTATTCCTGGGCCCTGTTTGTTCAGTGGATGCAGGTGGTACTAACAATCATCATTGGGCACCCACACGTGGAAGGAGTTCGCAGCTCCCACACTCCACCCAGCAAGCTCACATTAGAGACAAACACACATGCCAGACCCCGGGAGGTACCACCATCTGAGGCAGAAACACTTGAGGAGCCCAGTATCCTCCATGGGCTCTGGGGCATGTACTCAGGGTACCCGGAACGTTTGCAGGACCACAGGGAAGGGGGGCAGCTGGGAAGGTGAACCCAGGATATACAAAGCTGGACAAGCCATCAAGAGCCTTGTTCAGACCTTTGGTTTTCTAAATGAGGAAGAAGAGTGGGAGCTCACTGAGTGCATTTATTAAGCACCTACTGTGTGCAAGACACTGAGCCAGGTGCTGGGGATCAGCCTCAGACAAGCAGATTTGGTCCCTTCCTTGAAGCAAGGAGAGAATTCCTTTCAAGACATTACATCATTGTGGTCACAGTTTGTGTGACCATGCGCCCTGGGGAGGGGACCTGACACAGGAGGTAGGGGTGATGTCTGATGTTCTCTTGCAGGAGCAGGGACAGCGTGGGCAAGGCCTGGAGGGAGCCAGCGCCAGGCATTAGGGGCCATGGTGGGAGACGAGACCAGTGGGCCAGGCAAGGCTAGGGCCCTGTGGGAACTTGCAGGCTGCTGTAGGAGTGCTGTGTTTAACCTGAAGACTGAGGAAGGGCCTGACACCAGAAGGAACCACAAGCTGCCTTCCTGGAGTCAAAATTTTGAAAGCAGAACTCAGACAGTTTCTCTCTGTTGTGGGGGAACAGCTAGCTGGAACCTCTGGGCTCGAGGACCCTGCTGCCATCCTTGCTAACTACAGAGGCCCAGCTGCTGCCACCCCCACCTCCGGTGGTACAAAACAATATCCTCACCCTGGTCAGGGAGGCAGATGACCTCATTGGACTCTTTCCATTCTCTCGCTTTCATAGAGAAATTACAATTTATAATTGGATGAAATCACGCGGTGTAACAGCAATAAGAGCTCATGCTGGAGCCCAGCAGTCACCCCTCCTGCGGGGATTCTGTCCTCTTCCCTCCTGCCCAAGGCCCTGCCCCTTCCCTGGGGGCTGTACCCCACCCACCTGCTCTCACCTCGAGTAGTTACCAGGCCCTGGCCATTCAGGATCGATGTCCCATAGGGCTTGCTGGTTCCTGCTCCTGGGGAAGCTTGTCCCAAGACCTCCCCCCTTACCTGTCAACCCGATCAGCCTCAGCCTGTACCCCGCCTGGCCAGCACCCACCTCTCTTCCCACATGTACTTCTGTCGGGCTGGGCACCCAGCAGGAACCAACCCCCCAGTCTAGGCTGTGGACCTATTGAAATGTGCATCCCAAAATATCCTTGTTTTTATTTGTTACAGCCCCAGACAACAATCATTTCTCAAATCAGCCACCTTTGGCCCTACAAAGAAAAGGGCCCAGATGCAGCTGAGCCCAACTGGATCCGGTTTCAAACCAGAGCTAACACTCTCAGATGTGTAATAAAAGCCCTTTTCCAAAGAGGGGCTCCTGCAGGGGGATGCGGACATCAGGGCACCACAGGCCTTCCATGTGCCAAGCTAATGAGAGGCGATCCAGAGGGGCTCGGGTTGGTTTCAGGTTCTGAGGAACAGCCAGCCCTGCCCACCCAGGCCTCTGTGGAAGCAGGAGGGTGGCTGCAGAGGGCACTGGCAGTGCGGAGCACTTGACCCAGCCTAGGAAGTGGGGCAGTCACAGGAGGGAGGCCAGGGACACCGAGACCCAACTTCCATGGCTCCTTGATGCTCCTGCTTCTGGAAGCAGAGGCCAGGGCGGCCCTGCCGGATCCTCTGAATGGCATTTAGCAAGAGGAGCAGGTGCCCGGGGAGGCGGAGCCCGCTCTGGGCTGGGCTGGCAGCCCCTGCACAGCTAGAAGCGCTCCGAACTTCATGTTTCTCCTCCACCCCCAGGAAAAGGGAAACGAGGGACTGGTCTGTTATCTGGATTTGAAAAGAGAAGGGAGATGGTAGAGACCATCCAGATCACGGGAAATTATGTGGTGCCCAGGACAACAGGCTCTGGAGGGATGGGGGGGGAAGAGGCTGCAGGCCGCGCTGCCAGCCCCCCAACAGCTCCTACTTTCCCTGGGCTGAATCACTTGTATTGTTTTTGGCAGGTGAGAAGGCAGGGAAGAGTTGAGAAGAACGACTCCTTTTTGGACAGACAAGACCAGGGGGTGAGGCAGGAATAACGTGTCCCCCGCCTCCCCAGCAAGAAAACCTTCTCTCAGACAGGAGCAGCTGAGCAGCTCTGAGCCCTCCACCCAGCATCTGCCCAAAGAGGCATGTGGGGCCTGACAGCTCAGCGGTGCATGTCGGCGGCTCCCGCCCCGCCGTGAACATCTGAACTCCTCCGCGGGGTAATGGACCCCCCTCTTCCCCCTGGAGACACAGCCTGAGTGGCAGGAATAGTGATTCTTTGGAGACGGGCTCCCTCTTAGCTCTGTCACGCAAGAACGCTCTCTGCACGGCAGCCCATTCTGCCAAGTGACTTAAAGGGATTTAAAAAACACAAAACTTGGTGAAGAAAAGGGGGTGAAAGCCACGTAGAAGCCTTTCAGAGAAGGTGGCGGCCACTGGACAAAAGGGCAAAAGTTGAAAGGAGGCCGAGGTCTCCCTCCCCTGGATGGGTTCCTGGCTGTAGGGCATGCCTGGGGGGGCCATAACACCCTCAGGCTGTGCACAGGAGTCCCAGGGCCTTGGGGGAGCGCCCCTGTGGGCTCCTCATGCATGCCCCTCACTCCAGAGGGAAAGGCCAGCAGCAGGGGCAGCCTAGGTCACAGAGGATGCAGGTCCAGATCCACAGCCACATCTGAACACCAGGAGCCCAGCAGAGCGAGCACAGGGCCTCTCCCCATGCTCTGGGGCACCCCCAGCGCCACCCAATGCCCCAGATCTGCAGTCTGCAACCCAAGCGTCAGGGCCACGGGGCCTGAATGTGACGCAGCCCAGGCCCAGTGGACCAGAGCAGAGGCATCCAGAGCAGAGCTCCCAGCCAGACCCAGCAGGCTCCAGGTCGCAGCTAAGGAGGTAAGGCAGATGCAGATGGGCTGGGGTAGCCCAGGAAGGCCCGGGACTCCTGGGGCCTGCAGAGGGCGCGGGAGACAGCTGGGGCCTGCTCTCTTCCGGGGCCAGGTGGCCAAGCAGCATCAGAGCTCCCCAGATGTGCAGCTCCATCCCACACGGGGTCCCTTGCTCCCTGGTGATCCGGTGCTGCTGGGCTCTCCCAAAGCAGGGTGGACCCAGGGCACACCTAAAGGAGCGGCCTTCCCTGGAGTAAAGCGCTCCTCCCTCCAGCCATGGGCCTGCTGTCCTTGGGGTAGGCCTCACCTTGAGCCCCCCTCAGTCCCACACAAAGGGGGATGGCAGTGAGGCCTTGGGCAGGGCCTTTGTTGACATCAGCCACTGGTCATGGCCCCTGCTGCCCTCCAACTGGAGAGAGCCCGCAAGGCGCCTCCATCTGAGCTGGCCACCCCCTGGCCAGGGTGGTTGATCCCAAGCCACCAACCAGGGCCCTGTTCCTACCAGCCAGTCTCATCTACTCTGATTTCCACCTCAGCCTCTTTTTTGGTGAGAGCGGCATGGTGGAGCCTAGAAAAGGGCAGCGAGTGCCCCAGGGTCACACGGCAGGATTTGAGCACCCCCTTCTCATTACCCCCTCGGCAGGAACCGGGCTGGGCCCCGTGGGGGGCTGGGAGCTGTCTGGGGGCGCAGCCTACTCCTCCCGGCTCCCCAGAGGCCAGGAGGGGGGTCTCGCGCCTCCCCAGACACAAACCCCAGCCAACCTCTACCGCGGCGCCCAGGGCAGGGCAGGGAAGCCCCAATTCATTACCAAGATGGAAAATGACACTTCCCTGCGCGCTTCCCCAGGAGAGGAGCTGATTTATGACTGCGCCGGGGCCGGGACATTCGTCAGCGCGGCACAGCCGCACGCCGTCTGCGGGGGCATTAATAGCCGTGTTATTAGCCACCAGCGTGAAAGATGCCCTGCGGATCGGCTATTTGCTGTTATTTATTATAAAGGCGCGCCAACCCGTCAGTGGGGCTGCGAGGCGTCCCGAGCCAGCCAGAGCCCGAGCGGAGCCCCAGCTTGCTGGCCTCCCTTCCCCCAGCCCTGCACCGCCCCGGCCGCCGACCCCCAGGAGTCTCCATCTCCTCCAGGCCCTGGGCAGAACTGGAAGGTAATTTCTGGGGAGGCGGCCTAGCAGGAGGGGTGCAGTCAGCTGCTGCTCCCCAGGCCTGCGACCCTAATTTCATGGAGATCCTGGTTGGTGCTGGGCTCTGCCCCTGGTGAGCTGGGCATCTCTCTTCCATCCCAAGGCAGAAAAGCAAAGGAACACACTGGGCTCTGTGGCCAGATGTGAGTTGGCACTCTGGCCTTCAGCTGTGAGCCATGTGACCTTGAGCACGTTCCTTGCCCTCCCTGAGTGCACTCCCCTTTGTGCACTGGGCACATGCCCTGCAGGGCAGTGGCCAGCTGGAAAGGAGAGGAGTTTGTGAAGGGCCTGGCAGGCAGCAGGCACTCAGCCTTGCCAGCTACTGCCACTAATGGGCCTGATCCCATAGGACTAGAGGGGTCAGCAGACCCACTGGTGGAGGAAAGCAGCCCCCATGAGATCCTGCTTGAGTCACTGTCCACCATCCCCCTCCCCATGCCCACCCCAGGAAAGGATTTGGGAGTTCAGTGCCAAGGCTAGAGGGAGAGGTCAGGGAGAGGGCTGTCTGCTGCTGCTCAAGGGTTGTCTGTGCCCTAACGTGTCCCTTCCCCTCTCTGGGCCTCCATTTTCCCCCCTCTTTAAAAAGCAGAGGCTCTCTGAGGACTTCTATCTGTCCAATTCCAGGGTCCTGAGGGTGGGCTCCACCCTTGTGAATATCTGTGGGAGTGGGAGGGAAGGGGCCCTCTCTCAGAAGGTGGGCCAGCCTCTGATGCCCGGAGGCAGAACTACATTTGGGCAGGGCCAGGTGGGCCCCCCAATATCAGAGATGAGCAGGGACAGCCAGGGGGCTTCCCGGGGTTTGCTCCCTCCGGGCTGAGGAGGTCCCGCTGTGCAGGTGGGGAGGGCAGGTGAGACACCTGGGAAGGGAAGAGCACTGGGTGGGAGTCCAAGGCCTGGGTTCATGACTGGCTCCTCCACCACGCGCCGCACAGTTCAGACCAGTCCCTTTGCCTCTTTGGGCTGTGGTGCTGAGAGCCTGGGTCATTATCACTGGGTGGGGCTAAAGGAGAGCTAGCCTCCTTCCCTCCCACACTGGTCCTGGGCTTCAGCTTCTGGGGCCTCCCTTTGATGTTTCCATTCATTCATTCATTCAACAGATGTTTATGAGCACCCCTGTGCCAGGCTCAGTGCCAATCCAGTAAACAAGACAGAACATATCCTGACTTGGAGAATTTACACTCTAGTGGGAGGTCAACTCATGATAAATAACTAGGGGGTCTTGCCAGGAGCAAGGCCTGCCTGTGAGGGATGCACACAGCTCCTTGAGGGTCCCACCCCCCACCCAGCTCCAAGCCTCTGCTTTATTGTCAGTAAGCGTCACCATACCCATCTTTCCTGGTTGCCCTGCTGCTCTCTCGGCCCCTGCAGTGCAGATCCCGGCCCCCACCCTGTTCTCTGGGGCTGTCGCCAGCCCTGCAGGCACTGCCCTCTCCTTTCCTTCCTCCTAGTCCCTTAGAATAAAGGCCCTCAGGCCCCTCTTCCTTCTGCAACCCCCCTGGTCTTTCCTTTTTCTTTCCCAAAAGGAATTAAGCCTCAGTCTAGGCAGCTTTACTAAAAATGCACACAGACGGACAGAAATATCAGTTGCAGGAATATTTCATTAAATAATGCTGAGGGAGAAAGAAACAAAATTACATGTCTCTACTTTCATCCCCCCACCCCTCCCGGCCCTGAATAGTTTAATATCGAACACTGTTATCAATATAATTAACCTCTTACGACATAATTTTAAAGTCTTGTTTTTTAAAACGATTTGCATTCTCTGAAGTTCAGGACATCCCGCCACCCAGCACCGCCCTGCAGCCTACGCAGTGAGGTGAACTCGAGGTATACTTTTAGTGGATTTGCATACCTGTCTGCAATTACTGCCAGCGATAACAGCAGATGCATAATGCATGCAGCATGAAATTAGAAAAATAATTAACTTGAGGTTTTAAAGGAAACCCTACCCCCACCCCCCATGCATTACAAGTTCTCAGTGGCACCAGTAGAGAAATCAGGAGCAAAGTTGTGCAGCGCAGGCTTAGAAGGGCCTTGAGGGTCACAGCACCCAACCTCCTGGAGGGGCCAGGAGTGGCCTGGACAGGAGCCAGCCCTGCGTCTGCCTGAACTAGGGCTTGGAAAGCCCCGCCCACACAAGTCCCAAGGTTACTCCCCATCTGCAGTGCACATCTCCCAGACCGTTGCTAAATGCACATCTCCTGGACGGTTGCTAATAACAGCAGTGGTCCCCCATGGTGAACGCCACTGTGCATCAGGCCCTTTGCTCTAGTTTATCCTTACAAGAACCCAGCGAAGTGGGTCACTTATGGTCCCAATGTACAGATGAACTCCTGAGACTTGAGGCCACTGAGCCCAGACAGGCCCACTGGCCTACTCACCTTCCCAGGGGGGAACTCTCCCTAAGCCTGCATGAACCATGAAGGTGGAGGCTGGCACTCCCCTGCCTCTTGCCCGTCCCTGCCCCCACCCCCACTCTCCCACAAGTTGCTTATAGCTGAGCCTGAGAGGTGGGACTGGCTGGTGGGGAAGAAAATGTGGGGCCCCTCATTAATATAAGCAAAGGTTTGCTGCGGGCCCATTACAGATGCTGTGGTGGAGCTCCCTGCCTGGCAGGGGAGGTCTCTACTCTCAGTGGGGCCTAGGTCCCCAGCCTGTCCCCTTCTGGAGCCTCGAAACTGCTTCTCTGTCCCATATGCCCTACATACCTCGCTTCTGCCAGTAAAGACCTGAGGGCGTGGCTTCTTGCTGAAGGGAGGGGCTAAAAGGGGGCACGGGAAGTGGGGGGTTTCCCTCTGTCTGAGCCTGGATCCCTAACGTACTTGTTTCTGCACCCATCTTTCAGAAGCTCAGCCAGGACAAGTGGGCAGCCACCCTGAGTGGACATAGGAGTATTTGGGGCCTCTCTCTGGGACAGGGTGGGGCAGCTCTTTCCCAAACCACTGGGGCCTGTGCTAGGCAGTCTACACAACCCCTCCCTCTCATCTTCCTGAGAGAGTGGGGTTCGCAGCAACACATTACAGATGAGGAATGTCACTTCAGAAACCAGAGAAGTGTCACTGCAGGTTACACAGGGGAGCGGTGAGGCCAGATTCTGACCTAGCCCTGTTGTCCTCTCTCTGTTCCTAGTCCATGCACCTTCTCCTTGGGGTCAGTGCCACCTGGAATTCTCTGTTCCTAAAGTGGGGGCTTAGACTGTACCTGGCACTTTGGGGGACACTGCATCAGAACATTCCCAAGCAAGCTGCCTCCCCTGACGAAAAGGCAGGCAGGCCAGGGCTTGGAGGCAGGGGGAGGCCTGCCCAGTCTTCCCTCTCCTGCCCAGACCTGCACTCCTTCCAGAAACGCGCCCCCTCCTCCAGCCAGCCCCCTGGTGTGCTCAGGTCTAACTATGGTCCACCAGAAGCCTGCAGCAGGAGATGCCATTTCCCACACAGCGAGCTGGCCCTTGGGTCCTGAAGCTGCTCCCTGCCAGTGGCCCTTCCTCCACTCCCCTGAGAGGGCCCTCCAGAGGGTCCTAGGCCTCTGGCAGCTCCAGACTGACAGGATTTGGGGAAGACACCAGGACAGAGCACTGGGAGGCTGGGGGTCCCCAACAGGGACGAGCAGATCTTTATAGGTATCACTCAGCACCTGCTACTCAAGTGAGTATGGGAGCAGAGCTGGACACAGACCCCACCCTGAGGAGGCCAGGGGAAGCTTCACACAGGGGTGTCCAGACTGAGGCCTGGGGGAGGAGTAGCAGCTGGCCTGGGGAGGCAGGAGCAGGGCAGGGTGTGCTGGTGTCCACAGAGCTGGAACGGCACATGCAAAGGCCCAGAGGGAGCAGGGGGCAGTGCAGGGCCTTCAGGAACCTGGAGTGGGCCACATCTTGCATGTCAGAGTTCCGGAGGACCAAGGTGAGAGCTGATGCATGGGTGGCTCCCTCTTACATCTGCTCCCTGGGCCTGGAGGGGTCCCCATGAGACAGGAGCTGGAGCAGCCTGGGGTCACAAAGGAGGGGCCTGGTGTTGATGGGCCAGCTCTGTGTGGCCCAAACTGGGGTGTTTCCATTAAGGCTTGGGGAGTGGGGAATTTGAGGTGGGGGGGTGCCCAGTGTCACAGTGCATGACAAGGAATCCATGCCAGGAAGCAGCTTAACACAGAGCCACAGGGCAACTGGATAATTATAGCAGCTTTTAAACTAAAGGCATCAGGTATATACAGGTTACACTGATGAGGGGTACTTAGCATGTACTATCCCACTGCATCCTCAATAGTAAACTCCCCTGTAAGGGGAACTATTAAGTCCACATTTATAGATGAGGAAACTGAAGCTCAGAGAGTGCAAGCAACGTATTGAGATCACATAGCCTGGAAGTGGCAGAGGCAGGACTCGAACCCAGGTTTCTCTGTCCTGGAAGATGGCAGGAGCTAGTGACTGAGGTAGAATGCCAAGGATGATGCCCCAGGTTCCCCCTCAGCTAAGGGGGTCTGGGAAACTCCTGAGCCACATCACTGCTCCCCTCCCATGCCCCCCAAGACATGCCAAGGACCCTGCTGTCATTCATGGAGCTAGCAGGTCCTAACTCACAGCATGCTTAAGTCTGTGGGATCTGTGCAACAAGTGACCCCGTAAAGGATGGGCAATTTACCAGGTTTAATTTGATGGCTACATAAACCATCACACACACAACAAAGGAATAAAAAGGCCACCTGGCATAGGGTGATTAAAGGGCTCCTCCAGCAAGGCAGGTCTCTTCCTTCCCACCCCTGGGCCCCACCCTGCTCTCTGGCCTTGTGGAAGGGGCGGCAAGGGGAGACGTGAGCCAAGATGGATGAGGCCTGCAGACAGGGGAACGGAAAGGCCTTGGGTCCCTGCCTCCCAAATGCTTCTTGGTTATCCATCAGGCATCTCTGAAAGGTGCAATTTAGACTCTATTATGATGCCAGGGCCTCTGGAGGCTGAGGACTGTGGCCATGCGCTGAGCAGGCACTGGGAACCGATGTCCATGCCAAAGAGTGTGGTGGCTGGCCTGGGCTTTGGCCTTAACAAATCTGCCACTTGCTCAGGGCACTGCCCCAGAATGTCCAAGCCCCGGGGCCATCCGTATCCCTTGTGCCAGGACTCAGCAACTGACAGATCAGGGTGCCAGATGCTGGGAGCCCTGGGCAGTGGTGCTCCTCGGCTCAGACTCGACCCTAAGCCTGAGGCAAGGTGGCCTCTGAGAAGGCCTGAGGCTTCCTGTCCCCAGCACCTACCCAGGCCCTGCCTTTTGCTCATAAGCATCTTGAGGGAGGACCTCCAGGCTCCATGACCTCCGTGACTCTGGCTCTGCCCAGAGGAAGGGCGGGAACCTAGGCTGCCTGTGACCTTAGATGGGCCCCTCACCTCTCTGAGCCTCAGGCTGCTCAGCTGTAAAATGGGACCTGTGTGCATGTGATAGGCAGGCATGCCTGTGAGGGGGGTCATATGCAGAAGCAGAGACAGACTCCATGTCCTGAGGGTGGGGCTGTGAGGGGCCTCATGACCCAGAGGCTGGGCTAGGGGCCGAGCTCCAAGGAAGTAGTCAGGAGGCGAGTGTCCACAGGAAGTCCTCAGGCTGGCTGGTACCAGCGGCAGGGGTTTAAGCTGGCTTCAGGGACCTGGAGTATTGGGCACAGTCTCATCCTTTCTTCCAGCTTCCTGAGAGGTCTCATCCACATATGGCTCCATGCGCAGACCCCATATGCCCTTTGCCCTCACCCTCACTTGCTTCCAGCCAGGTGTCCTCAGCTGGCTCTCAACCTGCCTTGGGTCACATGGACAAAGCTTCATGCTGCTAACAGGACCTGAGCGGGGTTCTCGTGCTAATGTGGGCACGACCTGAGCTTTCTCCAGAAGGTCTCAGAGCTGCCAGGCCACCTGGGCAAAAGCTTGGTGGTCAGTGATATCAAGCCACACCAGGCCTGTGAAGCCTATGGTCCCCACTTGGGCACCCAAAATTTAGCTGGAGACACTGAAACACTAATCACCAAACAGCACGACCCACAGCCCACAAGGATGAGCACAAGATGCAGTGCCACGAGCCTGCCCATCACATCACGGTCCTGGCCCGGGTCCCTTACCACTTCTCAAGTGGTCTTGAGTGAGTTAACATCTGAGAGCTTCAGATTTCTCCTCTGTTAAATAGGGGTAAGAAGGACACCGACCTCAGGTTTACTGGGAGGATTAAATGACTTAAGTATTCATAAAGCTCTAAGTGAGGTGTTTATTATAGTATGACTACTGTCTCACCAGAATGGCATCCCAAGTGGCTAGGACACGGATGGCACATGGTGGATACTCAATAAAGATCCACTGGATGACTGGATGGATGAGTGAGTGGATGGGTAGATGAGTGGATAAATGGGTGCATGGATGGATAAATATGTGAGTGGGTGGGTGGAAGGATGGAGCAGAAGGAGGCTCTGTATGGTATCAGGGCGACTTAGCAGAGGAGGGGACATTTCAGCAATACAGAGGGAAAGAGAAAGGAGAAGGGTTTGGCGTAGTAGGAAATGGAGACACTCAGTCCCTGGGGCATGACAATGTGGTCTCCACTGCCTCATTCTGTGAGCAGGTCCCAGTTCCACTTGGCACACCAGGACGGCCCTCCAGGCTGGGGCATTGGCTCAGATGCCAAGGGGCCGTTGTGTCTACCACTGAAAAGCCCTCGTGAACCCAGAGTACATGGCAGATCTTTGCCGGTTGCATGAAAACACCTTCCCACTGAAGTTGATAGATAATTTCTCTTTAATTGATTTTTTTACCACTATGAACAGTAAATAATATGAGAAAAAATCTACACTGCAATTTTTCCATTTGTGAAAACTGAAATTACACCTTGCAGACAATTCCCTTGGAACACGGACTCCTCCCTCCTTTTATTTGTCCCATTTCTTTAAGTGCAAGAAAACAGATCTGTATTTTTTTCAAAATAGCTGAAAGTTTTGTGATTTGGGAAGGGGGCAAGGTGTGAAATTATTTCACACACAACACAGAACGCAGAGCTAGGGAGGGCACCTCTGGTAAACAGTTTTCTGTAAATACATAAGAAAGTAGCTCTGTCGACACCTCATTCTTTAGTCCATTAAATGCATGAGTGACAAGCAGGACACGTTCTAACACCAGCCGATGGAGCTCCTGGCTCTCCGCTGCTTACCAGTGAGGAAGCTGGCAGCTCCTTTTTTGCAGAATCTTGTGGTGCCCTCCCCGCCTTTGATCCCGCAAGCCGCACAGAAATAAGGGTTTCTCTTCAAACCCTGTGTCCAAGCCAGATAAGGACTTGAGTCCCCCATGCCAGTGAGAAAGGGCTCTGAATCCATAAAACAAGCCCTAAATCCACCCCAGCAACACAGACTGGCCACTTTCAGCATTAGCCATAAAGACTGGCTTAGTGTGAAGTCCTGAAAGAAGAAACTGAAACTGCAATGTGGCTCGTGCTGAACTCACCTCACCATGGCTTTGTCACAGGCCAGGAGGGCCACGGACATGCGCCCGATTCACAGGCGCTCCGATGAGGTTTAACATTAGTCAGAACTGCTAGTCTGACGTCAGTTTCCCAGTGATCACCTGTGACATAACTTGACACAGAAAGGGCTTGACCTCTGCCCTGCGGCCCCGCCAGTGGTGACCCTTTAGTGGCAGGTGGGTGGGTGCTGTGACTCGCTCTCATAACACGTTGTCCTGTGCTCCTTGCAGGTATAGTGGCTCCAAATCAGGTGAGGCCCGGCTCCCTCAGCCGTCCACCATGGTGGTGGCACACCCCACCGCCACTGCCACCACCACACCCGCTGCCACCGTTACGGCCACCGTTGTGATGACCACAGCCACCATGGACCTGCGGGACTGGCTTTTCCTCTGCTACGGGCTCATCGCCTTCCTGACAGAGGTCATTGACAGCACCACCTGCCCCTCAGTGTGCCGCTGTGACAACGGTTTCATCTACTGCAACGACCGGGGCCTCACCTCCATCCCTGCTGACATTCCCGACGACGCCACCACCCTCTACCTGCAGAACAACCAGATCAACAATGCCGGCATCCCCCAGGACCTCAAGACCAAGGTCAACGTGCAGGTCATCTACCTGTATGAGAATGACCTGGACGAGTTCCCGGTCAATCTGCCCAGCTCCCTGCGGGAGCTGCACCTGCAGGACAACAACGTGCGCACCATCGCTAGGGACTCACTAGCCCGCATTCCACTGCTGGAGAAGCTGCACCTGGACGACAACTCCGTGTCCACCGTCAGCATCGAGGAGGACGCTTTCGCCGACAGCAAGCAGCTCAAGCTGCTCTTCCTGAGCCGGAACCACCTGAGCAGCATCCCCTCGGGGCTGCCCCGCACACTGGAGGAGCTGCGGCTGGACGACAACCGCATCTCCACCATCCCGCTGCACGCCTTCAAGGGCCTCAACAGCCTGCGGCGGCTGGTGCTCGATGGCAACCTGCTGGCCAACCAGCGCATCGCCGACGACACCTTCAGCCGCCTGCAGAACCTCACCGAGCTCTCGCTGGTGCGCAACTCTCTGGCCGCGCCCCCCCTCAACCTGCCCAGCGCCCACCTGCAGAAGCTTTACCTGCAGGACAATGCCATCAGCCACATCCCCTACAACACGCTGGCCAAGATGCGTGAGCTGGAGCGCCTGGACCTGTCCAATAACAACCTCACCACACTGCCCCGCGGCCTGTTCGACGACCTGGAGAGCCTGGCCCAGCTGCTGCTCCGGAACAACCCCTGGTTCTGCGGCTGCAATCTCATGTGGCTGCGGGACTGGGTGAAGGCGCGGGCGGCCGTGGTCAACGTGCGGGGCCTCATGTGCCAGGGCCCCGAGAAGGTCCGGGGCATGGCCATCAAGGACATCACCAGTGAGATGGACGAGTGCTTCGAAACAGGGTCCCAGAGCGGAGCAGCCAGTGCTGCTGCCAAGACCACGGCCAGCAACCACGCCTCTGCCACCACACCCCAGGGCTCACTCTTCACCCTCAAGGCCAAGAGGCCAGGGCTGCGCCTCCCTGACTCCAACCTTGACTATCCCATGGCCACAGGCGATGGCACCAAGACCCTGATCATCCATGTGAAGCCCCTGACGGCGGACTCCATCCGCATCACATGGAAGGCCATGCTCCCCGCTTCCTCCTTCCGGCTCAGCTGGCTGCGTCTGGGCCACAGCCCAGCCCTGGGCTCCATCACAGAGACCCTGGTGCAGGGGGACAAGACAGAGTACCTGCTGACAGCCCTGGAGCCCAAGTCCACCTATATCATCTGCATGGTCACCATGGAGACTGGCAACACCTATGTGGCTGATGAGACGCCCGTGTGTGCCAAGGCAGAGACAGCCGACAGCTACGGCCCCACCACCACGCACAACCAGGAACAAAACGCAGACCCCATGGTGAGCCTGCCCTTGGCAGGCATCATCAGCGGTGCCGTGGCTCTCGTATTCCTCTTCCTGGTCCTCGGGGCTATCTGCTGGTACGTGCACCGGGCTGGTGAGCTGCTGACCCGGGAGCGGGCCTACAATCGGGGCAGCCGGAAAAAGGACGACTATATGGAGTCGGGGACCAAGAAGGATAACTCCATCCTGGAAATCCGTGGCCCTGGGCTGCAAATGCTGCCCATCAACCCTTACCGCGCCAAAGAGGAGTACGTAGTCCACACCATCTTCCCCTCCAATGGCAGCAGCCTCTGCAAGGGCACGCACACCATCGGTTACGGCACCACGCGGGGCTACCGGGACGGCGGCATCCCTGACATAGACTACTCCTACACATGATGCCGGCCGCCCGGCTGCCCCACCCGGTGCCGCCTCCTCCTGTCTGGCCAGCTCGCCACCATCTGACAGAGCAGGAAAGGAAGTCAGTCCACAGTGACTTCCCAGCAGAAAGCAAAGTTTAGGGAGAGCTGACAATTTTGTAGAACACAGTGAAAAGAAAAAAACATTTTTTTTTAAGAATTGAAGGCAGGAGGGGGATCTGACGTTGCTGAAGACATAATTTATACCAAATTATGCCAGCTGGGGAGGGGAAGGACTAAAAATAATATCGCAGGAAGGGTTGGTTGGGTTTTTTCTCCTGAACTGGAAGGATGCTACCTGTACAATGTCTGTGTACACCTCACACTCTGTCCAGGGACATGCCACGAGCCTGCCCATCACATCACGGTCCTGGCCCGGGTCCCTTACCACTTCTCAAGTGGTCTTGAGTGAGTTAACATCTGAGAGCTTCAGATTTCTCCTCTGTTAAATAGGGGTAAGAAGGACACCGACCTCAGGTTTACTGGGAGGATTAAATGACTTAAGTATTCATAAAGCTCTAAGTGAGGTGTTTATTATAGTATGACTACTGTCTCACCAGAATGGCATCCCAAGTGGCTAGGACACGGATGGCACATGGTGGATACTCAATAAAGATCCACTGGATGACTGGATGGATGAGTGAGTGGATGGGTAGATGAGTGGATAAATGGGTGCATGGATGGATAAATATGTGAGTGGGTGGGTGGAAGGATGGAGCAGAAGGAGGCTCTGTATGGTATCAGGGCGACTTAGCAGAGGAGGGGACATTTCAGCAATACAGAGGGAAAGAGAAAGGAGAAGGGTTTGGCGTAGTAGGAAATGGAGACACTCAGTCCCTGGGGCATGACAATGTGGTCTCCACTGCCTCATTCTGTGAGCAGGTCCCAGTTCCACTTGGCACACCAGGACGGCCCTCCAGGCTGGGGCATTGGCTCAGATGCCAAGGGGCCGTTGTGTCTACCACTGAAAAGCCCTCGTGAACCCAGAGTACATGGCAGATCTTTGCCGGTTGCATGAAAACACCTTCCCACTGAAGTTGATAGATAATTTCTCTTTAATTGATTTTTTTACCACTATGAACAGTAAATAATATGAGAAAAAATCTACACTGCAATTTTTCCATTTGTGAAAACTGAAATTACACCTTGCAGACAATTCCCTTGGAACACGGACTCCTCCCTCCTTTTATTTGTCCCATTTCTTTAAGTGCAAGAAAACAGATCTGTATTTTTTTCAAAATAGCTGAAAGTTTTGTGATTTGGGAAGGGGGCAAGGTGTGAAATTATTTCACACACAACACAGAACGCAGAGCTAGGGAGGGCACCTCTGGTAAACAGTTTTCTGTAAATACATAAGAAAGTAGCTCTGTCGACACCTCATTCTTTAGTCCATTAAATGCATGAGTGACAAGCAGGACACGTTCTAACACCAGCCGATGGAGCTCCTGGCTCTCCGCTGCTTACCAGTGAGGAAGCTGGCAGCTCCTTTTTTGCAGAATCTTGTGGTGCCCTCCCCGCCTTTGATCCCGCAAGCCGCACAGAAATAAGGGTTTCTCTTCAAACCCTGTGTCCAAGCCAGATAAGGACTTGAGTCCCCCATGCCAGTGAGAAAGGGCTCTGAATCCATAAAACAAGCCCTAAATCCACCCCAGCAACACAGACTGGCCACTTTCAGCATTAGCCATAAAGACTGGCTTAGTGTGAAGTCCTGAAAGAAGAAACTGAAACTGCAATGTGGCTCGTGCTGAACTCACCTCACCATGGCTTTGTCACAGGCCAGGAGGGCCACGGACATGCGCCCGATTCACAGGCGCTCCGATGAGGTTTAACATTAGTCAGAACTGCTAGTCTGACGTCAGTTTCCCAGTGATCACCTGTGACATAACTTGACACAGAAAGGGCTTGACCTCTGCCCTGCGGCCCCGCCAGTGGTGACCCTTTAGTGGCAGGTGGGTGGGTGCTGTGACTCGCTCTCATAACACGTTGTCCTGTGCTCCTTGCAGGTATAGTGGCTCCAAATCAGGTGAGGCCCGGCTCCCTCAGCCGTCCACCATGGTGGTGGCACACCCCACCGCCACTGCCACCACCACACCCGCTGCCACCGTTACGGCCACCGTTGTGATGACCACAGCCACCATGGACCTGCGGGACTGGCTTTTCCTCTGCTACGGGCTCATCGCCTTCCTGACAGAGGTCATTGACAGCACCACCTGCCCCTCAGTGTGCCGCTGTGACAACGGTTTCATCTACTGCAACGACCGGGGCCTCACCTCCATCCCTGCTGACATTCCCGACGACGCCACCACCCTCTACCTGCAGAACAACCAGATCAACAATGCCGGCATCCCCCAGGACCTCAAGACCAAGGTCAACGTGCAGGTCATCTACCTGTATGAGAATGACCTGGACGAGTTCCCGGTCAATCTGCCCAGCTCCCTGCGGGAGCTGCACCTGCAGGACAACAACGTGCGCACCATCGCTAGGGACTCACTAGCCCGCATTCCACTGCTGGAGAAGCTGCACCTGGACGACAACTCCGTGTCCACCGTCAGCATCGAGGAGGACGCTTTCGCCGACAGCAAGCAGCTCAAGCTGCTCTTCCTGAGCCGGAACCACCTGAGCAGCATCCCCTCGGGGCTGCCCCGCACACTGGAGGAGCTGCGGCTGGACGACAACCGCATCTCCACCATCCCGCTGCACGCCTTCAAGGGCCTCAACAGCCTGCGGCGGCTGGTGCTCGATGGCAACCTGCTGGCCAACCAGCGCATCGCCGACGACACCTTCAGCCGCCTGCAGAACCTCACCGAGCTCTCGCTGGTGCGCAACTCTCTGGCCGCGCCCCCCCTCAACCTGCCCAGCGCCCACCTGCAGAAGCTTTACCTGCAGGACAATGCCATCAGCCACATCCCCTACAACACGCTGGCCAAGATGCGTGAGCTGGAGCGCCTGGACCTGTCCAATAACAACCTCACCACACTGCCCCGCGGCCTGTTCGACGACCTGGAGAGCCTGGCCCAGCTGCTGCTCCGGAACAACCCCTGGTTCTGCGGCTGCAATCTCATGTGGCTGCGGGACTGGGTGAAGGCGCGGGCGGCCGTGGTCAACGTGCGGGGCCTCATGTGCCAGGGCCCCGAGAAGGTCCGGGGCATGGCCATCAAGGACATCACCAGTGAGATGGACGAGTGCTTCGAAACAGGGTCCCAGAGCGGAGCAGCCAGTGCTGCTGCCAAGACCACGGCCAGCAACCACGCCTCTGCCACCACACCCCAGGGCTCACTCTTCACCCTCAAGGCCAAGAGGCCAGGGCTGCGCCTCCCTGACTCCAACCTTGACTATCCCATGGCCACAGGCGATGGCACCAAGACCCTGATCATCCATGTGAAGCCCCTGACGGCGGACTCCATCCGCATCACATGGAAGGCCATGCTCCCCGCTTCCTCCTTCCGGCTCAGCTGGCTGCGTCTGGGCCACAGCCCAGCCCTGGGCTCCATCACAGAGACCCTGGTGCAGGGGGACAAGACAGAGTACCTGCTGACAGCCCTGGAGCCCAAGTCCACCTATATCATCTGCATGGTCACCATGGAGACTGGCAACACCTATGTGGCTGATGAGACGCCCGTGTGTGCCAAGGCAGAGACAGCCGACAGCTACGGCCCCACCACCACGCACAACCAGGAACAAAACGCAGACCCCATGGTGAGCCTGCCCTTGGCAGGCATCATCAGCGGTGCCGTGGCTCTCGTATTCCTCTTCCTGGTCCTCGGGGCTATCTGCTGGTACGTGCACCGGGCTGGTGAGCTGCTGACCCGGGAGCGGGCCTACAATCGGGGCAGCCGGAAAAAGGACGACTATATGGAGTCGGGGACCAAGAAGGATAACTCCATCCTGGAAATCCGTGGCCCTGGGCTGCAAATGCTGCCCATCAACCCTTACCGCGCCAAAGAGGAGTACGTAGTCCACACCATCTTCCCCTCCAATGGCAGCAGCCTCTGCAAGGGCACGCACACCATCGGTTACGGCACCACGCGGGGCTACCGGGACGGCGGCATCCCTGACATAGACTACTCCTACACATGATGCCGGCCGCCCGGCTGCCCCACCCGGTGCCGCCTCCTCCTGTCTGGCCAGCTCGCCACCATCTGACAGAGCAGGAAAGGAAGTCAGTCCACAGTGACTTCCCAGCAGAAAGCAAAGTTTAGGGAGAGCTGACAATTTTGTAGAACACAGTGAAAAGAAAAAAACATTTTTTTTTAAGAATTGAAGGCAGGAGGGGGATCTGACGTTGCTGAAGACATAATTTATACCAAATTATGCCAGCTGGGGAGGGGAAGGACTAAAAATAATATCGCAGGAAGGGTTGGTTGGGTTTTTTCTCCTGAACTGGAAGGATGCTACCTGTACAATGTCTGTGTACACCTCACACTCTGTCCAGGGACATCACAAAAGAACCGTCAGAGAGAAGCAGCTGACACGTGAAGCCCCCACACAGCTCTGGCTGCCAGTATCGACGTGATGGAAGGTGTTCAGGCTCCTCACAAAGGAGAGGGGAAAGAAAAGATCTTTTGCTGTGGAGATATTGTCCTGAAATCTCTTCCGTGGTTCTTTCCATACCATTTCCCTTACAGGTTTGCAGAAATAGTGCATCTTTTACTGCATTCTTTGAACAACAATGTAGTCAATTAAAAAACAAACTTTCTTTTCCCTCTTCCGTTCCATGCACCACACTCTGTGGAAGCCCCACAAGGGGCGGTGGCTTTCCCAGCCACTTGGACGTGCATCTACCTACCTATCCCTGTCATGTCTCTAAACGCAGATGGGTAGATAGAGCCACACAGATGGTCCTTACAGTACTTCTTGGGTCAATTCATACACTGTCCTGAGACAATAGAATTGCAGAAGTGTTGCTTTCTCTTAAGAAATCAACGATTAAGTAGAAGTGTGTTGAGATGGGAGTAATGGGGGGGACAATAAGGTTCCTAAAGGCAGAGGCGTGTCCTGGGCAGGTGGCTAAGGAGGCCCTAGGCAAGGGTTGCTTTCAGTTCAGCTGTATCTCAGGTTGGCCAGAGCTGGGCTGTGCCCCTTTCTGACACAGACGAAACCTTTCTCTGACTGCCAGTGTCCTCATCTCCACCCCCCACCAGATGCAATCTCCTCAACAGCTACTTTCTGAACGTTTATTCTGTGCTGTGTGCTTCCTCCTAGGACAGGTAATGGGTACAGGGACTTTTTTTATTTATCAGCTGATTAGAGCTAATGGTTTCCATGGCTGCTTAAACAAAGCCTAGAAAAAGACATGGAAATTCTCAGAAAAGCCCTGGGAGACAGACCCCTCCTTCCCACCCCCTGCCCCCGCAGGCCCCGAATGTACAACACTCAGCTGTGCCCACCCCAGGATCTCTGCTCTGGAGAGGGGAGACCAGATCTTTCTCAAAAAATGTCAGCTTCCAAAAGGGCCCTCTGAAGAGTTAAGATTTTATTTCTTCCCAGAGGAACCCATGCTGCCATCATCTACCAGCCGACAGCGCAGTTTGGCAAGCCATGAGACTAAAGCGGTGATGAAATAATGACAGCGGATCTGGAAAGAAGAGAGGAGTTGTGCCTGGGGTTCTGACGTCCCCTGCGTCCCCGCACTCAGGAAACTCGGGTCACCATCTGTCACTGTGCTGCGTGTCCGGCGCCAGGGAAGAGCCGTGTCAAAGGAGAGCCACTGGTCTGAGGGCAGTGAGGATGAGAAGGTGTCCGGCTGCTGGCGGTGGTGTTTTCAAAAGGCCTCAGCTGCTTTGACGGGAGCCACGGCAGGGAGAGGAGGCTGAATACAGTCGCAGGGCTGCAGTGACAGGCCCAGGGTCTGGCCACCCACCGGACATGAAAAGCTACGGCTGGCCCTTCATGAAGAGGCAGGGATTGAAAGAAAAGAACGCAGCCCTTTGTGGGGAAGGTGGAAAGAGGTGTTCTCCTCCGCCAGGCTGCAGGGACGGTCTCCCAAGGTGAGGGCGGTTCCAGCTACCCAGCCCCAAGGAGGGCACAGGGGCATAGACACATTTCTTCTTAAACTAAGCCTTTTTTCCCTTTTCCCACTTGAATCATTTTCTCATACCATGAAGTCAGGAAACAACTTGTACCAAGCCTTAATGTCATCACATCTGTGTTTTCATGTGTGACACAGGCCCTGACACAGGCCTGTCCTGGCAGCTCAGGGAGGGCGCACTGGTGGGTCTGGGAGGAGCGGCTGCTCTGTGTGAAGGGCCTGGCTGGGGTGACGGGAGTCTCAGGCCTCTGTTATTTCTGAAATGAGGCCCCCTCCCTCAAGGCACCACCCCAGCCTCCTGCCAGTGTCCCAGGAAACTCAGTCCCCTGCCTCCCCACTGCCAAGCAGGAAATCGGGATCATCCCCTTAGAAGCTAGGGAGGCATTTGGGAGTAGCAGGTGGTCCCGTACGGTAGGGGCAGAGAGCCAGCCTGTGCCAGCACCACCCGCCAAGGCCAGGCCTGGGTGGTGAGCTTTCCTCTCCCACAGCACATGCAGGCCCAGGCCTGTCCAGGCCTGAGGACGCATAGGTCTCCTGCTCCAGCTCTTGCACTGCCAGCGCCCACAGCGGGCTGGGGAGCCAGACCCCCCGCCTCACCACGGACATCTTTTCGGTGTAAGTGCTGAAGGTAGTGCGATTTGGCCACCAGGGCCCGGAGCTTGCTCTCCTCTCCTCTGCCCTCAGCCTCCTGATATCTTCCCAGTGTCCTTTCTGAGAGCGAGCCCCCAAATGTCTGCTGCCTCACGGCGCCCCAGGCCAGGGAGGGGGCCTGAAGCCAAACCCCCTCTGAAGCCCTGTCTCCCCACAGGTCCAGCTTCTCGTGTCACACGAGAGAGATGTTTCAGGCACTCACCCCCTCCCACCTCCTAAAGGCGCGTGAGGGAAGATGCACCCAGGCCCAGGCCACCACTTCTGCCCAGAATCTGCTTTCTGTGGGGGCCAGCCTGACCCTCGCCGCCTCTAACTAGCCAGAACAACCTCCTTGGCCTCAGCACTGATGAGTGTATTTTGTGGCATTTAAGGCAGGTTTAAAGTTTAAAAAAAAAGCCCAAGACACTTCTTTGGTTAAGTGGTTTACCCTTTGTGGTAATTAGATGTAGTGATTGGAATCTCTTTTCTATTACATGGCAATTTTCCTTTAAATTTCCCCTAAAAAAAAAAAAAAGACACACACACAAAAAAAGGAAAGAAAAGGCGAGGAAGGAGGGAAGGCAGCGGGGCAGGCGAGCCGTTTGCATTTCGCGAACGAGGCCTCTTGTAAGCTCAGCTCAGGCGCGGGGCCCAACGTATGGAATGCTTAAGAGATTGCTAAGAATAAAATCTATTAATTAGTCATACTCAATTCCACAGACATGATGTGCATCAAAAGCCTCTTTTCTTCCCCTTTCTCCTCCCCTCTTCCTGCGGCCTCCTGAGGGAGACTCCATCTTCTCTAAATTGGCTCTGGCTTCCCGGCCCGCCTCCACGGTGACAGGGCAGCCATGTGGCTGCCTTGGGGGCCTCCCCACCCAGGGCCTGGGTGCCAAGTCTGAGGGCAAGAGCTGGGGCACCAGCTCCTTCCTGCTCTGGGTGACACTGGCAGGTTGGGGACAGCAGCTGGGAAGACGGCAGCAGCTGGAGGGGCCAGGCTTCCCCACCCAAAGCCCGAGGCCCACGCCTGCCTTGTGCCTCTTCTGCCCCCTCGGCTGGGCTCCAGCCTTCTCCTCCCTCCCCGTAGAAGTCCAGGGAGACCCACCAGCCCCAACAAGGTACAGAGAGAGAGGACGGGTCAGGGAAGGTTTCCTGGTAGGCACAAGGAAAGCATGTTTCTCAAAACCACAGCCTCTGCTATCCCTTCTGTAAAGTGGGGGTAGGCTGAGGTCTATCTTTACTAGAAAAGCTGGGTGCTCCAGAGGCCAAGTGGGGGCTCCTCCCCTCTGCTGATCTGGGAAGGTTCTGCTTGATCCAAGGCAGGTGATGGGGGCTCAGAGCAGGCGGAAGAGGCCGTGTGAGGATTCCTGAGGGTCTGAGGTGGCTGCCTGGGGCCTGGAGAAGAGGCCGCGTGGTGCCTGGGGCTGCATCCGAGCCCCTCTCCTTCACTGCCTGGAGCCAAGGAGAAGGTACCCTTCCCTGCCCGCCAATGGCAGCTCGAGTCCCAAAGCCAACCCAGCCCACTCCAGAAACCTGCTTCCTGCCGAGGCGTCAGGGAGGACAGGGCTTCTGAGCCTTGTGCTTATGAAAAATACAAGGAAGACCAGATGCCGCAGACAGGGGGCAGGGGAGCCAGAAGGCAACCAGGAGAGAGCTGGGTGCTTGCTGGAAGGAGGGGCTTTGGGGTGCACAGCAGTCTGTGTCTCCAAGGGCCAGACCATGCTCTCAGGGCCAGGACACGGCCTGGCTGTGGGTGCCCCATGCACCCATGTCCCCTCCCTGCACTCAAATCAACGCAGGTGACAGGCAGATGCCTGCCTAGCCCTGGAATGGTGCCAGGGTGAGCGCTAACAAGCAATTCGCAGCCCTGCACAGCCTTCCAGAATGCCGACAGAGGAAGCATCTTATTTTAAGGAGGGATAAAAAGGCTCAAAAATGCAAATCATTACCATTTACAACCAAGCGAGTCTGCTAAATTGATTAGGAGAGATTAAACTCCTTGGAGGTGAAGGAAAAGGGGATTTTCCACATTTTATGAACCTGCCCCCAGTGACTGTGTGCAAAGGAGGGAGATTCTGGGCCTGGCTCGGGAGCTGCCCCTGCACACACCCTGGGAAGCTGGGCATCTGGGGGGGCTGACACCACGCAGGCCAAAGCCCTCGGGGACGTGCTGGGCTTGCCGGAGCCTGGGCTCCAGCGGTCCTGCCTCATGGGCACCTGGTGCTCAGGCCTCAGGGACGGGGTGGGGGATATGTGGTCATCCAGCAGCTGTCCCAGCCCCCAGTGGAGGCTCTGCCCCTGCCCTCTAAAGTCCTCCTGCTCCAGGGGTGAAGAGCAATGAGGGGAGGTGGCCGGACCACTTAGAGGGCAGGATTCTGGGGCCAAGTGCTTTCCTGCTTCCCTTCTGTGCCAGGGAGGGTCTGCCTCTGACCCATTCCCTGTGGCAAGTAAAAGGGGAGTGGTACCAACTGTGAAGGGAAAACTGAAGGTCAGGGAAGAGAAATGGGCCCAGCACAGGAGTCAGACAGTGAGCTCTCTGCCTCTGGGGGCATTCAAGCACTTGACAGGGATGTGGCAGGCATTTTCCTGCCTAAGCCAAGGCCCTCTCTAACTAGAAGATCCTGGTTCTCACCCTGACTTTATTATCCCACAGGACCTTGTAAGGAAGATATCAGGAGATGCTCGCTGTGCTGGTTAAAATGACCAGTGTCCCCTGAAAATCCCAGGTTAGGGCTGCCCCACAGCCGCGCCACCCGGGCCCGTCAAAGAGCTGCTTATGCCAACAGAGAGGCTGCACAATCCCCATTCTCAGTGTCCAAGAGGCACCGGGAGAAGTGCA